ATCATCTGGAATCTTATAAATGGCTATATGAAACTGAAGCTGTAAACAATTTAAAAAGATATCAGAATGGACAATATATACCCCAAGTGCCATTTGGAAGATGTAGTTTGTCTAATATGAGATACTTTGACAACATCAGGACTACATCAGACTATCTTCAGAAACCAAAGATCAGGATTTAGTCTTGTACTTTGTACAACAGCATTTAGTTCCTTCCCTTATCCTAGGGTCAAGGGAGAAAGTTCTTGTTTGAGTACTGGTTATGTAAAACCATATGCTACTGAAATCTTATATCCTTAACTTTATATGTTAGTCACAGATAGCCTGCAACAAGACTTGTAACAAGAGTTATGGCTCTTAATTTAGCAAGTAACAAGCCTCAGACATAACATAGCTCTTTGAAATTTCAGTTGCAAATCGTAAACAGAAGAAACAGAATACACAAAAATACAATGCATAAAGTAATAAAACACAGGAACAAATTAGTCTCCCTTCCACATGCTTCCTCCCTATTCTTCCTTGTTCTTTACTATATGGAACAGAATGAAAACCAAAGGCTAGAACGACATTTTAAAAGCTTTCTTGCAGATGCCGATACAATTAGAGAGAATATACTAGTAAATGTTAGATCAATTGAAATATTATTAATCACTTTCTTCTGCATACTCCATCTTGGACAGTACAGACATCAAATTCATACAGGTTTATGGACTCCTCTCTAATCTAGACACTTTAGTCTATTCTCTGATGTTTCTAAATGTAGTTCCCATTAGCCTGAATAACATACTATAAAAGAAGACCACCACCACCAAAATATATTCCTTATAGACAGAACTGCATCTAAATATATACCCAACATGATTCCTAAATTACAACTCAAGCATTTAGGAAACATAGTATATAATAAGAAATCCAAACCAAAAAGAGCAATCACCCTAGAAATGAATCATACTGATTTCTGAATAGAAGAAATTAATCCCTAGGCAGCTAGAAATCACACCAAAGGTAGTATAGGCTCATAACATGAATTTTCTAATAACTTAGTCAAGATACATTATCAACATGGCAGTGACATACTAGGAAAACTTCTTATGCCTATAATAGCCAAACTTCACACTGGAAAAAGAAAGAGTTTAATTTATTAAACAATAGGATTAGCAGTAGTACTCACCATAAGACAAAGTTAATGGTGCTGAACTCCCTCAAACAAACACTGCCTTTACCTTCAGGGAACAGGATGTAAGGCTCCCCAGCTAAAATAAACCCAATAACCACTCTGCTTCCAACTAACTCATTGTTCTGAGAGACAAGGAGTATACTATGAACCAAAGTGCTAGTTTTCAAGATTGCCAACACCTGATTCAAATCACAGGTGCAGTCACTTGCTCATTGCAGCACTCCCAGGCAAGATACACCATGTGAAAACGAGTACAGAAGAGCCATGGTATAAGGGTTTCTCAGGGCTGAACTAAAGATACAGGTTCTTTCCCACAACACAACCTTTGAGGAATAGTGAATTCACTTACAGTAATGTCAGTATCTGCATGTTACTTTCATATTTCCATTACTGTTTATAGAAATTGCTTGTGCATATATGTTTATTGTGGTAGGTTTTTCTAGCCAAGTCTGGCCCTTCAACCCAAGTAATAACACTTTTATGAAACAAAATGGCACTACCTGTCTGTCAGTAGAAATTGATGCCATTTGGTGTATTAACAGACTTTGATACAAGACCCCTCAAAGCATGAGGCCCTTTATATTATCCAATCTATCACGGCATGCATGCATGCACACGTGGCCAGCAGATCATACAAGGCAGCTCTATTAGCTCCTTAAATACTGTCTCCTGTGGCCAAGAGAAATAGCCTTTGCCAATCTGCAAGATTAGGTATATTTTTTTATATTTGCCATCTCCCACTATTGGTAGATAGACAAATTGAATCAATAGTCCAGGCTGAAAATCATTGCCCTTATTAGCTGAAAGTTGAAGAAAAAGAATAAAATTTCTCTCTTTATACCTATAGAGGAAAAAAGGCTTTCAAGGTACAGAGGTGATTTTAGGGGCCTAAAAGTTTGAAAACGTCCCTTACCATAGTTTCCTTCCAAATTTAACAATCCTCTTCATTACTCTTCCCTGTAGGGCAATGTCTGATTATTTGATAGACTATGGATCGACTCTTCCAAAAGCCACACCTTCTGCTTCAAAATCTAACAGAGGTTCTTGCCTGTTACTTCTTTCACATGCTGAAATAAGACACTGCAGGCAGCCTGTGAGGTATCTAACAAACACCCCAGTCTGAATACCCCATTCCCTGCTATACCAAAAGGAGATCTCACAGTCCACAAAAGGAGTAAGTATGCATGCTAAACATGTCTTGCAAGAAAGCAGAATTTAGAGCTCAGACCCTATAAACTGAAATCCAAAGGTATTTTCTTTCAAATAAATGGGACAGACTGCATGTTTATGGCTTAAATGGTATCTTGTTGGGTTTTTGTCCTCTACAAAATTCCAATTTCCTCTCAGGCATTGGTTAAATTCCTACAGTAATAAGAAACGCTGAGCAAACTGTCTCCTGGGTCTACCCTCTCTAAGACAGAAGTCTACATAGTTAGTGCAGAACTACCATTGTTCAAATCTTTATGCAGTGCTGGAGATACTTTCCTATTCCAAGCCACAGCATGATCTATAAACACACTGCAAAGTACAGGCTGCTGCCCAGGGTATATAAGGAACAAATATGTAGCCTTTCGTACGTCAAAGTAAGCTGCTGGGAAAGGCAATTATTCCCTGCTTGTCTGTGATTGATCAGCTTCCTGTATATATATGGATGTGTGAGCTTTCATTTATTACCTACTTGGTCACTGGCACAGGGCTGCAAAGAAAAAGGTCTTTTTCATAGGATTTTTTTCTGGGAAAGGAATTAAAATAGCATTGAGACAATTTAAATTACAAACAATGGCACTTTCCTATCCTCGTCTCTATGTAAGACAGCACCCATACAGCTAAAAGTTTCAGGGGAATTGTTTGGGATGCAGAAGGTGGATTTTGTATTGTCTACTCCCTTTTAAATAATATGCACAAAGGGCAGAAGTCTGTGCAGTCAAGGCAGAGTAAGGCTTTAAGTAACATGATTTTAATATTCATAAGGTTTTAACTTTTTAGTTATTATTTATGAAATCTTCTATTACATCAGGATAACACGTTTAAAAGAAAGTAAAATAATCCAAAACTTACCATTTTTACACCAGTAAAAACATTTTAGAACTATATTCAGAATGTATCCTCATAGCTGGTTTGGAATGATCTGTCAGTCCCAAGTATCAAATAATAATTAAATCCAGAGTTCACAAAGGAAAATTGTTAAAGGAATAAATTTGTTGCAGAAATAACAATCATACACTAAAGGTTTAGCCTGAAATGCATTCTTCATCACAATACATTGCATAGACCCCCATCAAGTTCAAAAGACAATGGGGTTTTCCTCATATCAAAATTATCAAAAACTCTTACCTATTCCATTGGCTTTAAGAATGCTATACAGGCTTTGCAATAGGTTATCTCATATGTGGAGAGGTTCACAACAGGAGGAAAGGGAAAGGGTCCCTCCGATGTCCTTTCATTCTCCACGTCGCCAGTTCTCTCTACCGGAAAGGAATTTTTTCTTGGTCACACTTTGGTGTATAAGGGAGGGATATTCCCCAAGAAAAGGAATGTGACAAACTAATAAACTAAGCTATATTATACAAATAACTGTAGATCAGTGTCTGCTGAAGGTATCTCTCAACTGGTTCTTCTTATAAAGAACCACCTGTCAATTTAACTCATTTAAAATATATTCTAAAATCGGCTCTATGGAACAACCATTATAAAACATTCTCTTAGTTGAATAAACTATCTTCCACATGATTCTGAATCACTCCACATCGCATATGTGAGCTTGGGAAGACAAGAGGGCATAAAGGTTGCAAGATACTGCCAAGTGCTTATGTGCACCACTGTCCTCTGCTGGAGGAAATCAGTCTTACTCCTATGTCTGTGACTGATTAGCTTCTATTAGCAGTAGCTGACATAGAGCAAAGATGACATAAGCAACAGCTAATGTACATTCCCATTTAAGCTCCACAGGCCTGTGGCTTAGGACAGAAGGTTGTTAATTCTATTGTCTAGGCAATGTAGCTGTGTAAACAGCATTTAAGAAGTTTGCACATGCCCCGGATGGTGTTCTTTATTACCATATATTTGTGCAGCAATAACACCCCCAGGCCCTGCAGAGACCAGACCTTTCTGCTTTACATACAGAGTCAAGATTCAAGATTTCAACTGCATGGTACTGTATCGTTCGATGCCCAAGATCTATAAAACATCATCTATAAAATAGCAGCTCATTTTGTATCAGTGTGAACCCAAAGGAAAAGCATACACAATCCCTTTGAGGACCTGAGCCTAAGACGCTTGAAGCAACAGCTGAAGAAAGACACAAATACAATCACTGTCTTGTGCTCCAGCATTTCTAGGGTGTTCATTTTGTCAGGACAGGCAAAGGACCTGTAGACACAAATATCAAGACCTCTCAAAAGCCTCTTAGATTGTAACACAGCTGCTTCCCCCACTAACGCTATTGTATTTTCGGGTGCCTGGGGAAACACCTCAATGGGAGGAAGTACGCAGGAGAGCTCTGTGTGAGAAGAACTTACACCTGCCTAATAACAGGGTGCCATGAGCCACGAAGGCAGGGGAGACCTTTCCACAGCAAAGGTGAGGGACCATCTACCACAAGGTGAGCGGAGCCAGTCTTCCCCCAGCCCCTGGTGATGGCCAAGTACAAGCACCTGTCTGCCCACCTTCCCCCGAGGAGCAGCAGAACCTCTCACGACGCCGCCAGAGCCGCGCTCCCTCCTTCCCGCCTGCCCCAGCCCACGCCTCAGGCGGCGCGCGGGGGGGGC